CAGCCACACTGTCTCTCACTCAGTGCCTGAGGGACAGCAGATGATGAAGACTCCCCGGAAGGCAAGAATGTTGGTCCAGATAATCCAAAAGATTATCTAGTGCTAAATCAGTACACTTGGCAGGGGCTAGGCTGTGGTGAGATCAAAGTTTGTCATAGCTTTGGCATATTAGTCCTATAACCTACAGCAACTCATAGAAATCCACATGAGAAACCTTATAATCTAGTAGTTAGAGAGGACTTACAAGTCCACATAGAGGACTGAGCAATGAAACTCCCTGGATGACCTGGACGACTCATTCTTTCTCATTGTGATCCATCTCTCAGAATCGGTGTAAGATGAAAAGTGGAAGAAGACAATCATGTATGATACTTGGATCTCATGGCAGGAAAATTGGATATAAATGTAACTAACATGAGCAGTTGGCCCATTTTTGTAAGGTTTTCTATACTGTGTCCTGGCACTTTGTACCATCTGAAATCATTATTGATGTTCAAATGGAAATGTTTAATTATTCTGTGAAAGTGCATTGCAGGTGTCCACAGAGCAGGTCAAATTAGGTGCATTTCTTTCATAATATGCTACACCTTTCTATGCCTTTCATTCAGACCTCTTCCCTATCAGTCCCACTTTTTTCTTCAGTTTATGAAGTGACATAGCACTGAGCTTATAAGACAGGGCCACTTCTGAATTGTGACTGCATTGCTTATAAATGTGATACTAAACTAGTACGATTTTTAAAACTTTTTTAAAAAAAGATTAAGTCTTTTAAAACAGACATTGGCTGTAAGGAATATGAGCCTCCAGAACATAAGGCTGAATAATCACTGTCCACCCCACTAAAGACATTGCCCTGAATGTGATCAGGCCACATTGTGTGGCTGCTATAGGCAATCACACAAACAAGAAAGCAAGATAATGGAAATGGAAATACTACCCTCCAAAACAGCTCTGCTGAATTCTTCTGGGGGAAAAAAGACTGAATTTACTTGCAATTAGATTTTTGTTTTGTAATATTCAATAGAAGAAACATCAGCAGTGAGAACTCCAGAACCAGTGTCTGCCTAAGTCATCGTTGTTGTTGTTATTTAGTCGTTTAGTTGTGCCCGACTCTTCGTGACCCCATGGACCAGAGCACGCCAGGCCCTCCTATCTCCCACTGCCTCCCGGAGTTGTGTCAAATTCATGTTGGTTGCTTCGATGACACTGTCCAACCATCTCATCCTCTGTCGTCCACTTCTCCTCTTGCCTTCACACTTCCCCAACATCAAGGTTTTTTCCAAGGAGTCTCTTCTCATGAGATGGCCAAAGTACTGGAGCCTCAGCTTCAGGACCTGTCCTTCCAGTGAGCACTCAGGCTTGATTTCCTTTAGAATTGATAGGTTTGTTCTCCTTGCACTCCAGGGGAATCTCAAGAGCCTCCTCCAACACCACAATTCAAAGGCATAAATTCTTTGGCAGTCAGCTTTCTTTATGCTCCAGCTCTCACTTCCA